GACAGTGTTTCATATTAGTTAACATACTTTGCACTATAAATGTTCGATTCAGGGGTGGCATTGAAGTATCTATTCGATTAAAGTGCATTTTTGAAGAGGTGTTTTGTTTTGAATAATTTTGAGTACCATACAAAACTTGATCTTTATATATATATATATATATATTCATATCAAGACTATCAATGGATTCTCAATATGATTTTCCTTTTCGGGGTCACTTAATGTGAATTTAGACACCTTTATTCTTTTCTTCGCATAATTTCTTTTAGCCTTCTCTATATTTCACACTCAGATGATGATTATAGTTTCATTGTCCTATTTTCTATTATAATAAATGACGTTACTTATAACCCATGTGAGTAAAGTTTCAAAATGATCAGTAGATTTTGAAACAAAGCTTTAATAACTATGGCTGGCTTAAAGTGATTTTAGGGCTGATAGTGGAGTTTTGCTCCAAAATGACGAGATTTCTGCTATCTCACATAAGCGACCCAAACGGGATTCAATATTGGTTGATTTTCATCGTGGGTGAATGCTAACACCCTCTTACGCAGCCAAGGGGGACCGTGTGCCAACTGTGAATTCAAAGTCTAGCCAAGCATAACCGCATTCACAGTAAAATTGGGACTTTTTCTAGGTAGGCATGCTTTTTCTATTACAATAAATGTAGTTACTTTTAAAAATTGTGAGTATGTCACTATCCAATTTGGAGTCCTTCGAGGAATGCTGATGCGACCCAAGCGCAATCGAAACGACGGTCCACTCTTTTGTTTGACAACGCTCAGTGAGAACTAGGCATATCATCATATCAGTATTTGACATCAACTTAAGCGACCTATGGTCTCATACAAAAATTATCGCTTTGTGTTCAAGTCAACTGCAGTTTTGCAGGATCTAGTTTTTAAATCTTATTTTCCCAATTTTTCTTTATCTACATCAGCGTACTTCTGTTTCCACTCGTGTGATCCCTTCACAGGCAAATACTCACCACATGGTGTCTCGCCAAGCTTAAATTCATGTGGCTTGCCAACCTCGAGCCTGCCCCTCGGACTGACTCGCCATCCCGTCGGCTCTCCACAGATGGGTCAGACGCGGTCTCAGATGAGGCACATGTCAAATTCTGCCGCCACCGCCACCGTTGCCACTGCAACTGGCACTACATCTGCCATGACAACCATCGGCAGCAGCAGCTCTCATAGGGCCTCCAGCATTTCCGGAATGAACGGTACAGGTAACGGGAATGGGGGGAATTGTTGTGCCAATCAGGAAGAGCTGCAGACTCAGCGGTTTCTGGCGAACGTACGCGAGCGTCAAAGGACTCAATCATTGAACAGAGCTTTTGCAGAGCTGCGCCGGATCATTCCCACACTGCCATCGGATAAGCTGAGCAAGATACAGACGTTGAAGCTAGCGACAAGGTGACATCTTACACTTTCATGCCCCTCACCAAGGTTTTTGCAATTAGCGCCTTATACATGTACTCTTTACTTGCTCCTAAATCCGCTTATTGCTTCGCCATCTTTGCCCTCAGCTTCACTCACAAGAATTCGTCCATAGGAATAGTTCAGCTATGAAAGCCTATTTAATGAGCTGAATTTCCTCTGTAAGTAGAACTTTGGACCATTAATGTCGCATAAGATGATGCAAGGATCAATAGCTTAATCTTTCCTCAATGACACAAATAGAATTTACGATCCCACTAAATTGTATCTGGCTTTTCTTCTCAAAAGGAATTCCCATCCTGAGTTAAAGTAGCACACTCAGAAGGACTCAAAACGGGGTGATAACTTACTCACCACCTTTAGAAGTAGTAAGGCTAATTCTAGTGGCAGAAACAAGTTTAGCTCTTCATTAAACCAATTTTCAAGGTGAATTTGGCAAGGGTTTGCTGGCCAGGCAATTTACATCTTGCACGGTG